ATGTCTTATAATTATGTAATAAATATTCATATTCATACTTTTTTTTTTATTTTTCACAAAAAGAAAAAAAATAATTAATTCGTTTGTAATTTTCCATCTCATATACTGACAGGTAGATAAACTTCATGAGATAAAATAATATAGATCTATATATTCTTATTCATGTACAATGAATCTATTGTCTAAGTTATACTTTCACTGACAATAAAACGTTTAATTGTAATATCCAAGAACTAAACATAACGCTTAGATTAGTGAGAGTAAAGTTTTTATTTCTTAAGATCGTTTCTATTATTGACTTATTTAAAATGTCATTGAAAAATAGAAAACATCAATTGCCTTGTTAAAGTTATCACAAAAAATTGATTGATAATAACTATGTGAACTAGTGGATACCAATTGCCTAATTTAAAAATATAGGATGACAACAGATTGTACTGATGTAATTACAGTTGATTGATCACTGGGTGGCGATTAATGTCATGTGTGTCAAGTCTTTATTGAGTGCAGATCGACTGCTATGGACCATTTTGCAATGTCGACACTAGTCTAGGTGACTCGATACTGCGTTCACTATATATTGAGATTAGATGGTGTTTGGAGGTAGTCGACAGGAAACTCTGAACCCGGGTGACACGGGATCGAATCCTCCAGGGAGCACCAGTTCCCTCGAGGTTACACGTACACCTTGCTGACGAGTGCCAAGTAGCACGAAACCCGGGTCCAGGGTTTCCTGTCGACTACCTCCAACCCTAGTACTGATGTACCAAGATTCTCAGAATGGGTTTTGTGGAGAGTTTAAGACATTTCACAGGTTGAAATCATGAGTCAGTTAAAGCTAGACCACCAGTGCTTCCAGGTTTAATGGTGGTCTAGCGTCAACTGACTCATGATTTCAACCTGTGAAATGTACCAAGATTCATTTATACGTGCTATCATGTGTTGTTCACTGATGAGCATTTTAACAATATTATTTAATTTGTGTCTAAATTATTCAACGGCTATCTAGTTAAATTCATTAAAGTATATTCACACTATATTTGGGTTTGTTTATTTTCTCATTGATATTTAGAACTGCAATTGATCAGCCTCTTATTGGTTCATGTGCGTACTGTGCGTATTGCCTAGATATTACCTCAATTCACAAGCATTATAAGTAAAGACGGATAGTGAAGGAAACGCGAGTCCCGGATTCCACTGCTAGTCATCATCCATTTTTGCTTAGAATGTTTGTTTGTTTTGATGAATTAAATCAGCAAACTGGAATTTCGATTTGATTCACGTTGACTTTAGAATAAGAATATTAATCAGCCAAGTAATGTTGGTTCATGATCTCAATAATACCTAACAATCTTCAAAACTTATTGAATACAATAGTATCAAATTATTTTTTGGTACATATTGATTTACATATTAGTATTAACGTTTTTATGATTTTCAGTGAATAGATATGTCTCTTATGTAACTATCTGATAGGACAGCACAAGAATATGACATTATTTAAGTTGATATTTCTTGTTCGTTATGAATTTCTTTCATCATGACGTGTGTAAACTTCGCTTAATCTGAGATTAGCGGATCAATGTTTTCTTGCATCAGTTCAGTGTGAACTTTGAACAATATGACAAGTGTGGACTCTTATTCAGTGTAGTAACCGCTTAGAATGATATACGCTTTTATTTTCAGATTAGTTTCATTTTTGGTATGATTTTTTTCTGTGTGATATTCTTTACAATAAGTTAACGTATGTTATATTTGCTTACCTACTTACTTACTCCTGTCACTCCCAATGGAGCATAGGTCGTCAACCAGCATTCTCAAACCCACTCTGTCCTGGGTCTTCCTTTCTAGTTCTATCCAATTGTTATTAATTCTTCTGATATATCCCTCCATTTCTTGGCGTAATGTGGTTTTCGATCTTCTTCTTCTTCTTCTCCTCTGACCATGAGGATTCCAGGTGGAGGCTTGCCTAATGACGCAGTTCGGTGCTTTCATCAATCTGTATCCTGTCCACTTCCAACGCTTCTTTCTGATTTATTCCTCTACTGGAATCTGGTTTGTACTCTCCCATAATAGGTTGTTGCTGATAGTGTCTGGTCAACGGATCCGAAGTATTTGGCGCAGACAACTGTTAATAAACACCTGAATCTTTTGAAGAATGGCTTTCGTAGTTCTCCAAGTTTCCGCCCATATCATAAATGATGTGATTAGTTAATTTATCAATATTTTGTCTAATATTGGAAGACAAAATATTCTTGAAAACTGTAATAGCTTGAAGAGATGGAACTTAAATAAACAGTATTTCTTGGATGCCGTAAATTTCTGAAATTATTATTTATGCACTCGAAAACTGTGGATATTAGAATTTTAGGATGATAAATGGACTATGCCTAGTAATCGTTCATATCCAGACCTCATGGCTAGTTGGATAGTGTGTTCTATGTTTAGTAAACGGAATACACCCATTAAGATATCAAATAAGAAAGATTAGTTCAGCAAAGAATTTTTATTTAGGCGAATTCATTTTCAAAGCTATACAGTCGCAAGTATATATATACTTATTTTTTTCAGGATGCTAATAATTACAATAATAATGGTAATAAGCTTTTGTTAGACAAGGTAACAGTGAGATAGAATAAACAAAGTTGTTTAAAACTTTTTTTATAAACAGGGAAACTAATAATCATTTTCATGTTATTGGCTTAGATTGTTATTAAAAGATAGATAGGGAACTTATCACTTGGAAAGGATGGCTCAGCATGATAAGATAAAATGTTGAAATTGAGATTAAATGTAATCAGCAGGATCGTACAAAAAGAAATTAACCACGTGGGGGTAGACGATTAAAGGAGAAGATTGGAAGGTAGGAAGATGGCTACAAAGGAAGGAGAGTTTGAAAACAAATTATAAAATATTAAGTTCATGGTAGGAGACGAGGTCGTACCAAGCTCTTTTGGGAACACAATTCTGGTTTTCCTAGATGTATGGCTATTGCTTCGGCAATCCTAAAAAGATGCAATGTAATTTCTTAGGAACACTTCTACTTACCCTGTAGATAACTTTGAACACAGAGTCTGTCTTGATTAAACGACCTGTGTTCACAAGGTGTTTGATTATTGAACTTTTTATTGAACCGTTTCTTCCTCTTATTAGCCACACCGGATAATTTTCTTGAATTCTTTTAGATAAAGTACTCATTGAACAACCTATATACCTGGCTTCACATGATCAGGTAAATTGTTCTATGCTTGTTACGAGTTGTGCTGTATTTGACTGACTGTGTGAAAACCGACACTGTGATCCAGGTACATGCACTTTTCAAGTCCTAAATGAGATGAAACGCGTATCCCCAATTTTAATATTAGTAGCAATACACCTGTCCTATAAAATCCGTGATAATAAGCCAATCAAAGCTTAGTCAATATTATCTACACTGAGAAAGCTCAAACCTATGCAAATTGAATTAACAATATCTTAACCTTTATATAAAAATAAATCATTTGCTCATTGTATTTTGATAAAAGTTGTGGTGAGACTATAATTTACGCACGACCTTCAAGTAGCACTAAACTGACCTTGAGAGTGTCCACCTAATAACTAGAACCAAATGGGTGTTACAAACCAGTGTGAGGAATAAAATTATGATCAAGATTTGGTAATTAAAATTAGAAATTACACTTAGGATTTTTATCACGAACTGACATCAGCTATAATGCCAAAATTCTATTTATCCAAATGGATGAACGAATTTCGCGCCAATATCCTAGACTTATTATCTTATACCTGATTGATTCGTCCATAACTTATAGCCTCGTTTAAACTATCAAGTGTATAGATACATTATTATGAAGTCATTATATGTGAGAATTATATTTGAAATAATCTCAAAGATTGAAATTTCAATAGTTTCAACATTTCGTCCATCAAAAAAATATATAGTTTTTAACAATTTTGATTATTACCCTGAAGAAGTCCAAATAGGTTTACTGGACGAAACATTTGAATGATTTAAATTTCAATCACTAGAATTATTTCAAATATAATTTTGAACATTTAATGACCTTTGTATATACTCGGAGCTCAATTTCTGTCAAACCATTCGTTCTAATCTTGACGAATATGCGTAAAACATTATTATGAAATTAATTTTTTGGGAAGACTCTAATTTATGAACCAGTCAATCAGAAACGTTTGAAGGATTTCAAGGTTACAGCGCCGACTTCAGTGCTTAATGCTAGCGTACGATCGGTTCACAGGGTATTTTGTACAAAACGTGATAATTGAGCCGCTATAACAAATAAAACGGCAAGACTATAATTTGTGGACGAATCATTCAGGTATAAGATAATAGATCTCGGATTTTAACGCGAAAAACTTTCATCCATTTGGCTAAATAAATTTCTGGCATTATAACTGATGTAATTTCGTGATGAAAACCCATATATAATTCCTAACTGAGGCAAATTATGACAATCATCGCGAACTAGATAATAAAAGTACCATTAACACTGGCTGCAGCCAGGTAATACAATATATATACGGATGATTGGAGAGCCTACAGATTCCTACATAGGCTTGGTTATGTGGATTGCGTTGTTATCCACAAGTAGCATTTAGTGTACTCAACAACCGAAGTGCACATAAACAATAATGAAAATATGTGGTCGAGGCTGAAAGAGTTTTTGAGACTTTATCATGGCTCCAGAGGCTGACTATTCTGTAGCCGTATGTATGATTTCCTATACTGCATTCACTGCAATTAGAGAATCTCTGCACCTCTTTATAACCTTGACAAGTTTTTGAACCACCTATAAGAAGTTTATCTACTTTATTTGCTTGGTTTTTCATAACTTCTTTTTACTCTATACTTACTGTTCGCTGATTGGCTAATATTTCACCTCAGATTCGTCGAAAGGTCGTCCATAAATTAGAGTCCCGCCAATTTTTTTCTTTTTTAAATAATTTATCTTTTTTGTTTTTTTCTTTTTTTGTTTTTAAAGGTTTTAGCTATAGATATTGATGCTGGTGAAAATGGTACAATTCTCTATTTTATTCATTCTGGCAATGATAATAATTATTTTCAATTAGATTCATATAATGGAATATTAAGTATTCATAAACAAATTCCATATAATGCAATAGGTGAATATATACTTAAATTAGAAGCAAGAGATTGTGGTAAACCATATCGTTTTACAATAACAGAATTAATTATTGAAATTGATCAATCACCATCTAAAGCATATCTTACAACAAATATATATCAATTACATAATTCTGATAGAATTATGCAATATGGTGCTAGTAATAATACATTAAATTTATATATTATCATTGCAATTATTGCAGCAGCTTGTGTTATATCAACTATATTGTTATTTTTAGTGTTTATATTTTTACAACGTACAAAACGTAATCGTCATAAGAGAACTGATTTATCAGAAAATTCAATCAGAAAGTATCATGATATAAATATGAAAGAATTACATACAAACTATTCTATAACAAATCAATCACAAAATCAGAATAGGAACAAATTTTCAGATTATGAAGGTAAGAGATAAATCAATCAATTTTATAATGATCTTAGTTACTAATTTATACCATATAAATAAGATCTTCATATCTTGTTTAAATATCAAAAGAAGAAGGGATGATATTGTATCATCTTCCCGAAAATCTTTATCATTTTCGAAATGTTTGGTTGAAGTTAGACATTAACATCATTGAATACTGGTTCGGTGATTCAATGGTTAAGCACACGTGCGAGAGACTGATTGATCCTGCGTTTGAATTTCGCAGGGTGGAGGAATTGTGGATGCTCATTGTTGAGGAGTCTCACAATAGGACGAGTTGGCTATCTAGTGCTTCCAGGTTTTTCATGGTGGTCTATCTTCAATTGACTAATGATTTCAACTATTGAAATTACTGAAATCTCCACAAAACTCATTTGGACTTTCGAAAATTGTTGATAAGCTAAATTGACAGATATGAATTTGAATGAAGAATTGGATAATAACTCATCGCTTGTTTACTAAGAGTTAATTGTGTTCAGTGAACAGTGAAAAGATATGTGATTATGTTTCGCATAAATTGTCTTATCTAACAATTACTTACTTACTTGCTTACGCCTGTCACTCCTAATGGAGCATATGCCGCCAATCAGCATTCTCCAATCTACTCTTTCCTGGGCTTTCTTTTCTAGTTCCTTCCAATGCTTGTTTATCCCGTAGAAAACTAACTCGCTATCTAACAATTACTTACATCCATATATTTGATATCATGGAAACTAACAGTCAGAGAAATGATCTACTAATCAGGTTTAATATATTCAATTGATTTAGTCAATAGCATCATTTTAAATCTTGTTTATTCTATTAGACAAAAAATATATTCCAGATATGTTACGTAATATAATTTGCACTTGCATTTCACTATTGTATCATTTTAATGTATACATCATTTGTTTCAATATGTATTTCTTAATCTTAGTTCACGGTTTGAACCTTGTGATAGTTTTCTACTCGTTTAAATTGTTACAAATTAAACCATTCAGTTATTTTGTTAAGTTGTAAGTTACTCAGAACATAACTAAGTAACATGTCACAGTTTAATAATATGTGATACATTTTGAGAGTATTCATAAAAAATCTTATATAATATTTATTTAAAGAATCTGCAGATAACTAGCTGAAATAAACGAGGAAAGCATGAACAATAAGTTGTAAAGAATAAAATTAACTTATTTTATTACGTCTGGTTCTTGTCAGCAACTTACACATTGTATGATTTACAAAATGAAATCAAATTACTTAAATGGAGTTGTTTATAAGTATAGATGGATAGTGGTTAATAATGGAATCGTGGACGCGGATTTCATCTTATTTGGTACACGTCAGATGGATGTACTTGCACCTCACAGTTGACATTCACTTCGAGATTCGAACTCAGTACCGTTCACTTCAAATGCTATTACATTGTCGAATTAGCTAGTGAGTCCAAATAACCAGTAGATTCTACAATGGTATGAAGTTTGACTCATTTGTGTATTGGTTGTTTCAATCTTCCTACTGATGTTTAGAACTGCAATTGATCAGTCTCTTACTGGCATATATTCATCCTGTTCAAATTGCCTTGATATAGCCTAAAGTCACAGGCACTATATGCAAGGATTGCTTCGACATTAACATTCAGCTTCAGAGTCCCAAATAGGATGAAACTCGCGTTTTGGATTCCACTGTTAGCCACCATCCATCTCTGCTCATAATACTAGTGACATAGAGTAAGATACAGACAATCCACACACATGATAATAAAAAAATGATCAATTGTAATCTTAAACATCGATGGGAAGACTCAGACTACCAATGTAAACACTGAAGGTAGTGTTTAGTTGGAAGTTTCTATGATCAAGCACCAGTGGAGAATAGCAACGCTGTAAAAATATTTAATAAGCTATATAAAATATTGTAAATGTATAACTTATGTGATAATATTCTATGGCATAGATAGTAACAGAAGTCTAAAGAGCTATAAACAAATGGTTCCGCATTGAATAAACACTGATAATAAGTAGGAATAAAATGAGTAAAACTCAATTAGTTAAAATAAGATTACGAATCTAGAAAAGTCTAAATAAAAAGAAACGTAACTATGTAATTAATTGAAAGAAAGTGTTGAATAAACTTTTATGATATAGTGAAGGAATATTTATCATCAAGATATAAAAAAAGATCAGCAGCCAATGACTTATGAACATATAAATCAGGTTCTTGACGCGTGATAACAATGGCTTCAGCAAACTTTTCAAGACTCGAACTTAATTGTTTATAAATCACCTTGAAATATTGAAAAGTATCTATCTGATGTCCTGTATCCAAATGTTTAGTAGTTTTGCTGATTGAAGCAGTTTTTTCTATCGTTCTTAGGCTTTTTGTAATATGTTCATAAAATCTAGGATATACCCTCATTTCCATTCGACCAACGTAGCTGCTCCGGCAGGTACATGTTAATTCATAAAAATAGTTGATGCTAACATAAAAGCATATGGTTCATAGTGAGGTTATTTCAATTTAACCTTAGATGGATTTGATATTATGAGTCCTAGTTAGTTTTAACAAAAATCAACAGTTCTCGAAAATATTATTGTTGGAGTTATTATTAAATCTAGTGTTTTACCAATTACTCTAATTTGTACTTTTTTAATGAAGTCTTGAGAATCGAAATCATCCAAGATTAATTAAATCCCAATCAATCACATTCGAAGACGTCGAAATATGCTAAAATGTTATCTGTGTCTTTGATCTGAAAATGAGTAACTTAGAGCCCATGCTATGAGATATACTTTGATGTTTATAGATGCTAAATATTATGATTTTGTTTGGTGGTTGTACTCATAGAAATGTTCTGATATTTTTCAGTTTCCAAATATATTCCGTAATCGAAAAATTCGTACGGTCGGGTTGGATAATAAGTGGTTTGATGCGTTAAATGTGACGAAAGAATTATTATTTGCATTTGCTGGTTTACTCATGCAACCCTTTATAAGTTCCAAAAATAAATTTGTGTTTTTTATATCTTATTTGGTAGCGTAAGTCATCTAGAAAGTACTCTGGTTTTGTCCATTTAACGCGTATGTTTGCTGTAATATACATTGTTTTGAATGAGAATTCTGCAAAGACAACTTTCATTACCTAGTAACATAAACTTGGAGACACGATGCTCTGTCCTAGTTCATGACACACCAGGATTACTTCATTTCGAAATCGCCAATCTAAATACATTGAACTTTCTATTTTGTTTTCGCTATGACTGCAAATGATGATAGCCCATAAACATGAAGCATTTATTATAGTATAGACAAAGAAAGAACTGAAGATCAGAACAAAAAAGCCGTTGACATCCACTATTTTTTAAAGTTTTCACAAAATTCTTCAATGTATGACGCAACGCAATATAAAAATGGAACAAATGCTTATGATCAACGAATTAAATAGTGTTTATCAGTATAGTGTTTGATGACAACATCCACGGAAGACCAGGAAACGATAAACAACATTTTGTACTAGTATGGAACTATTCATTAATCCTCACCCACGACTTCGCCGGATATTAAAGTAATGGCTTTTATCCTTTGCTGCTAGAGATTAAAATTTAGATCATTGAACTGGTCTCGGTTTAAAATCTTGGTTACCTCGCGGCTTGGCACTGCTGATTAGTCCCATACTAGAACGAAAAAACAATTATACAGGACTTTGTGGTTTTTATCGATCATTGAACAAAGGTCGGTTTGTGATTTCAAAAAATAGTATTTATTTAATTGTTTCGATCTCATGTTTCGATTGATTTTATTATTATTATTTTTTAATTTTAACAGTTCATCCATTTCCTAATTGCTCTCAACAATTACCCAGTTACGAAGATGGAAATAATAATTTGGAATTAATGAATCATCCAAATGGGAGTTTGTTTCTATTACCTGTTGAAACAGATTATAATTACGGTCAAAATTCATTTAATAAAATTCCCGGTACTTATTGGTCCACCAACAGCAACATAATTAATGATAATAATATTGCAAACATGGAAACTAATGAAAACAGAATAAATCTGACTGTTTCATCATATAACATGAACAATTTATATAATGATTATACAAATTATCACAATGGGGATAAAATAGATATAACAGGTTATCAAGATGTTTGTCAAACAATATTGAATGGTCAATGTTCAATACCTTTTAGTATACCTGAAGCCTGTAATGAACTGACTAATATATCAAAACATGTACGTTTACAAAGAATTTATTCTTAGTTTATTATTACAATTTACTATAATAGTACTGTTATAATCATGATTAGTAAAGAATTTGTCATATTACCAACTAAATTTGGTTTGAACTGAAACTTTTCAGAAAAAATTCAGCAACAGCGATCATAATTTAGTTCCTGCTCATCCATTTGAAATAACTGGAGTAGCAATGTGCGTGGGTATGGCATTAATTAATTATTGATCACAACTACTGTTCAAAGTTATGTCACTAATTCTTTTAGCTCATTCTTTAGTTATGATGAAGAGAAAGCCTAGTCTGAGTGTTCGACGAATATATCTGATGAAGAAATATTTGCCTCTTAAATGCAATTTATGTTTATGATGATTAACACATTTGAACAGTTATCAGGTTAGATTATTCAAAGTTCTACACTTGAGCATTTCATCTCACATATAATAAATTATGGATTAATATATATGGACAACTGTTAGAAATGAGTGTAGTAGAAGTATTCATAACACTCACTTTGTACACAAACATGGAATAACCAGCTGACCAACTTCTATAACTGGGCTCCTTTAAGCAGAAAGAGAAATCTTATTCACTCTTTATGTTATCAAATACATCGGATATGTAGTACAGAATGGATTGACGAAAAACTCGCATTCCTCAGGAAAACTCGGACGAAAAATGACTATGTAGACCATTTCATAGATAAGAATATGAAAAGAAGTATTTGCTACAGGGAATGCGGTTGTTCTGCTCGAAAGAAAAACTTTTATATATGTTTGGGACTTAAAGATGATTAAACATCTGATGTAATCAAAAATCATTTAACAAAAGTGATAAAAAGAACATTCTCTGCGGTAAAACTGCCAATAACGTTCACTAATAGGAAATTGTTTTCTATATCCATAAAAGATAAGCTTTCCCATCTGATCGCCTCCATGTACATCAACCAGTTCACCTACTCTTTTGGAGCAAGGTGCATTAGCCGTAACCAGACCTCGCTTTCAACTCGGATACGGGAACTTCATCGTTTTAATGTCTTTATTTTTAATGAGTCATTTCGTAATGACTCCTCGAATGTATGTTATTCCTTTTATATACAAACTAACCATTCAAACATATACTTTATGTAGTTGTATATTGTTAGTATATTAAATATTATAGGATCAACTTGACTACGTTTCATTCATCCATTTCTCAATATGTATTACATAAAGATTTTAGAATTATCTTGTTAAATCCATTTCTTATTAGAAAACAAAACAAACTCAGTCTACGTTCAACTTTATAGATGAATGAAACAGAAGTTTTCTAAATGTCAATTATTATATAATCGCCATTAAAACAGTTTGCTTTTTTTATCTTCTAAGAATACTCTATTCATTGTTATATGATTGATAACATTCAAATGAAATTATATCTGTCAAGTAACTAAAATGAATATAGTAAGATAAGCTTCCTTTTGGGGGGTTAAATGAATGAACGTTGGGAATAATGTCTAAGACTAATGATTAACGTTAATATAGACAAATAAATTAACTCAGATCGTTTATGATATATTACCAGTTTGTAAGTGACTTTTATCAATAATCTCATTATAATTTAATTGATAGACTTCGATAAATATCATAAATTTAATGAAATTATATTATGTAATATTATGTTGAATGAAGTAATTTGTTAGTGGCTGTGCTTCGTTGACCAATCACCCTCATAGCCGTTATCATATAATTCTCAACGGTGTTTGAAATCAGAAGTTGAAGAGAAGCAGCGACTACAGTTTTATTAGTGGATAACTCAGACCACAAAGCAGAGACAAATGAATGAGTCTGAGAACCGAGAGTAGAATAGTGTAGTGTTAAATCCACATGTATATATATAGGGAAATGAATGGATCATCGAATCAATGAAGCAGCTAATAATAAAGCTAGCAGAGTGAATATACGCGTAGGCGGTAAGCAATGTTCGAGCAACATATTTCATACAAGCACAACAATAATAAAGGTACAATAAATTGTTATAGTACGGATGATTTTGTCCGCTAAATAAGTTAACAAAAGGGCTCAACTGAGTTAAATGAGAATAAACTCTATTGCCCGTGAGTTGCTATAGCTTCAAAAGGAAAACGATTTTTATGATTAGAATTTTGAATAAAACAGATTGAATTTCTTTTACTTTAAGCGTTTACTTTTGATAACTACGTACGATCCAAGAATATCATGTTGATTGCCTTTCATCACATAGAATCTTTATTTGAAACACAATAGAAAAATCAATATATACAGGTCAAAGCAGATATGTTCTTTTTTTATTATGTTTTCGAAGCACTTGATGATACGTTGAAAATACTCACACAAAAAAAGCGATGAGAGTATGAAGTCTTAGGAGCTCCACTTCTGAAGAGGTTGGGACTATACATTCATTAAATAATTGTAAACAAATTGGCAATCTTTTCTAAACTTTTCTTATCACGAGTTCCTATATTAATGAATATGGAACTCATCACTATACATCAACTTCATGGATTATGAATAGGTATTTAACAGTGTTGATAAGAGAGTGTTATGGAAACTTCCTCGACACAGTGAAGGTCCTCAGAAGATTGTCAACATAATCCGGATCTCATGCGACGGACTACAGTGCAAAGTCGTGCATGGAGAACAGTTGGCAGATGCATTTGAAGTAAGGACCAGTGTCAGACAAGACTGTCTACTTACCTCCTTTCTCTTTATTTTGGTAGTCGACCGGATTATGAAAACCTTGACATCTGAGGGAAAACACGGCATACAATAAATAGCTCAGAACCAATTAGACGATTCGGACTTCACAGATAACTTAACCCTCCTAACGTATACACACGAACAAATGCAGATAAAACACAGCCAGTGTAGCACAGTCTCTGCATCAGTTAACCTCGACATACACAAAGGGAAAACCAAGGTCCTCAAATTCAAGGCGGAGAACATCAAACCAATCAGACTTGATAGCGAAACTCTGGAAGATGTAAAATCTTTTACGTACCTGGGAAGCATCATCGATGAACAAGGAGGATCAGGTGTAGACGTAAAGGTGAGGATTGGCAAAACAAGGGCCGCATTCCTACAATTGCAGAACATGTGGAACTCAAAACAACTTTCAACCAATATCAAAATGAGAATCTTCAATACCAACGTCAAGGCAGTTCTACTGTATGGAGCTGAAACTTGAAGAACCACTACAACCATCATCAAGAAGGTACAAGTACTTATAAATAGTTGTCTACGCAAGATACTCAACATCCATTGGCCGGATACCATCAGCAACAGCCTTTTGTGGGAGAGAACAAACCAGCTTCCAGCTGAAGAAGAAATTAGGAAAAGACGATGGAAATGGATAGGTCATACATTACGAAAATCATCAAACTACATCACAAGACAAGCCTTAACTTGGAATCGTGAAGGGAAACGGAAAAGTGGAAGGCCAAAGAACACATTACGTCGGGAAATAAAAGCAGATATGAAAAGGATGAATAACAACTGGAAGGAGCTGGAAAGGATTGCTTGGGAGAGTGTTGGATGGCGAATGCTGGTGGGCGAATAGTTTAACAAAATTCGGGTACCTTGTATATAGACATAATTATATTGAAAACGATTATAATATAAATAATTCTATCATTTCTTTTCGTAAGTCCATCTGAGATTCTTCAAAGTAGCAATCAAAATCAAAAGAAATGAATGTGTGTGTGCACCTTTACTTTGTTATTTATCAAAATTTTATGGAGATACGATATGTTATTGATGTATATATTGAATAGATATATTGAATAGGTATATTGAACAGATTCGAACTATATGACTTTGAGAATATTGAGTAAAAGAAGATGGAATGAGTGTTCTTTTTGATAATTTGTATGCTTAAGAAAGTTACCATAATGTTAGTGAGCAAGTTAAGAATTTGGTGCTATCTATCAGCAGTTGTTTTTTTAAGGAGTAATATTCGTAAAGAACTCATTATAGTGTGACCGACTGAATAGAAGTGTTCCATACGTTTCTGGAGGAAGGGAACATAATATAAACACAAAACACTTAAAAACCATAGCTCATTCTTTTTTTATCGAAAACATGTTCATGACAGTAATCAACAAAGAATGGTACAATTTTTGATTGTTGAATTCTTTGGTGCATTAGTCAATCATTTTCAAATTTTCCAGTTGAAATATCTTTGTCTAATAAGATATTAGGTTCATCTCTTAAGCCTCTTCATCTAATTATTATTGAATCCTCATTGAATCAATGTGGCGAAACAAAAAGATGTTTAGTGTACTATACGGAGATGTATATCCAATTCTAATAACTAGGTTAGTATGTATATTGAATACAACTGAGTTTTCAAACTGAAAACCAATTAGAAACCTTGACGTATCAAATTCTGGACATAAGGCAGTTCTATTCTATATTTAAATCATCGAATAAAAATTCAACCCATTTGCGTTTCAAGTCCATTCTCTTAAATGGTTAAGTTCTTTAGTATTTGATCAAAACCTAAACTCTCGGGTCTCATGCTAAAACCTAAACTAATGACTACTTAATCTAGATTCACTGATTTACATGTCAAACGTAAGTTAACTTGCATTGTAAAGTACAAAACTCAACAATTTCCATATAACCTCACAGTAATAATATCTATCTATATTTGATCATAGAAGTCTCCTCATCATTGTCTGTGGTTTTCTTACCATCATTTAATTAATTATTGTGAAATAACTATACAAAACACATTCATTATCTTATATTTTTCATAATTAATTACATTACTGATTACCATTATTTCCATTGAAATTACTTTGTAGCCACATATATTAATGTCTACAATGGATAATTGGCCAAAATTATCAACAACTGATTTTACATCTAATATCATTATATCAACTGATTGTGATTCAGGTAATGGTGATAGTGTAGAAATTCAACCAAATTTATCAACTAAAGTTTATTTTGTTGGAAGAACATAAACATTTAAACGATAGGCAGCCTAGAATAGTTCAATTAGATGATACTATCTATGAATGAATTATATTCAGTATTACTTATATTCTATGTAATAACATTGATAAATTATTGTAATAAATTATACATTTTTCGATATGAAAGCGAATTTTTCTTATTATATATATATATAGTGTTAATATTAGCTGTATATGTTTTAATGATCCAATGGAATATCTATTCATCTATTGATGAAGATGATAGTTCTTTTCTGTCAGTATTTCTATTCATGAATTTATCCAAGATTTATGCGTTCATTACCTGATTTCAAAATTAAGTTTGTTCGTCCCTTCTTTTTTATTCTCGTTTGTTTCTTCTTGTTTTCTAAATTAAAGAACCATTTCATCAGTAACACTATGATTTATCACTTCAATTAAATCGATACAAAACGATCATTCATTTGATGAGTTTCATAATCATTTATAACCATTGAATCCGTAATATTATATTGAAAATTTATCATTCCATTCCATTATACATATTTAATTTGAGTATAAAACTATATATTCTATCCAACTTCATTTTTCGTTTGATCATTAAAAGAAGAGTATTCATAGGTTATGCATAATTATGTAATAACCATATTTATTATTCCTATTTTCCTCTTGTAATTACTGAAATTATGAAAGAAGGAAAAAAACACAACAACAACATTTTTTTGGTTACTAATCAACATTTGACTGTACAAATGATTTGCTTTCAATATTTTTTATCTTTTAATGAATAGTGTTTTCTCAAAGTTCTTCTTCTTTTTTCTTTTATATGACATCTAATGAAAGCATTATGATATCAGATGATGATAAGTAAAAGGTGTTGTCGTTTATTAGAGGTTCCCATATAATGTATCATGAAACCATAAGATTGTAGGGTAATTCATTTATATTTGGATTATTTAAATGTAAGTGTTACTACGAAAGCCATCATTCAGAAGATACAAGTGTTTAATAACAGTTGTCTACGTAAAATACTTTGGATCCGTTGACCAGATACTATTAGCAACAACCTACTGTTGGAGAGAACAAACCAGATTCCAGTGGAGGAAGAAATTAGGAACAAGCGTTGGAATTGGATAGGACACAGACTGATGAAAGCATCGAAGTGCATCATAAGGTAAGCCTTCACTTGGAATCATCAAGGTCAATGGAGAAGAGGGAGTCAAAAGAACACATTACGACGAGAAATAAAGACAGATTTGTGAATAATGAACAACAATTGGAAAGAACTGGAAATGAAGGTTCAGGACAGAATGGGTTGGAGAACGAACTAAAATTTGAATATTGAACGGATAATCACTCTCATATACTTACACAAACCCGCATTGTAAATTAACGTTTGAGTAGTTGTATGCTGTTGTTAAATAAGATGTGCCTGCCACAAACGCACTACACGTCTGTCAATGCATTTAAATTGAACTATTCTTCATTATGATTTAAGAAGTGACTGAAAAGGGTTTATGCTGAAATTATGACATTTTAGAGACATCGAATTGTTTAATGACTCACCAATACATGTATCAATTCAGTACAATTGTATTGAAGAAAGTACGAATTTATCCTCCATATGTAATTTTTAGGAAAAATGGTTAACAAAGACAATGTTACCTAATAATAATTGTTACTTATTTGCATACTTACTTACTTACGCCTGTTACTGCCAATGGAGCATAGGCCGCACAAGAGCATTCTCAAACCCACTGTGTCCTGGGCCTTCCTTTACAGTTCTATACAACTGTTGTTCATTCTTCACAAATCTGTCTGTATTTCTCGGCATAATGTGTTGTTTTGACTCCCTCTTCTTCTTTGACTGAGGCTGCTGCTACACTAATCGTCCTCTCCTTTTGTTTTTGCGTGTGTGATTGAAGAAACAGATCATCTGTCAAGTCTAGATCGTTTAGCTGCATTCTGGATCTCCACTGCACCCCGTGCTTCCCCCCCTAGATGTTGACTTCTCCATTATCCAGTCGATTACCAGGAGAACGAGAAATGTTGAAAGTAAGCAACCTCGTACTTCGTACGAGTTCGTGAGCTCTCCTCCATGCACCATTTTGCAGTTTAATCCATCATAGGAATTCTGTATGATGTTAACTATTTCCTTACGTACGCCGTAGTGTCGAAGAATCCGCTACAGTGTTGTCCTGTACACTCTATCAAATGCTTTCCCATAATCAATTAAGTTAACGTAGAGTGATGAAGTTCATTCAATTGATTGTTCCACAATAATGCGTAGTGTAGCAATTTGTTCGGTACACGAAGAATCCTTACAGAATCCGGTATTATTAAGAGTATCAGATATTAAAATTTTCTATCACATTAACAGAAATAAAATACTGTGAAAATTAACGTATTAGTTGTAAATATTAAAACAAAATAAATTACAACTTAACTATTGATCCACTTGTGTCAGTAACATCTAAAAAACTAAACTAAACTATCTCGTCAAAAGTAAGAAAATGTATGTCTTTACAAAAACACAGAACTTGTTTCGCTTATCAGATATAACATAAATTCAGCTGATGGGTCTCAAATTGTAAAAAATACAACCAATACATTCCACTGTTTTACTATTTACTATTTTTTATTACACTCATCTTGTAATAATGATACTGAACATCTAAGACTGCCGCAATTTCCATTTTTTCTCTATCATAGAGCAACTTGTCAAACTTTTTCTATCATCTTTCACAGAAATAGAAACTAACTCAAATAAGTACTGATTTCCACCATTATGTTAACTATCTAGCATCAGTGCAACTCGTTGTGTACGTGGAGTATTTTCTTCTTCATGACCGGAGTATAACAGCAGCGCTCTTGAAGCTAATCTTTGTTGTCCAACCTGCATCCAATGTGTTTCAAAGATTTCAAGCAATTCAGGGTTGTATCTTTTCATTTCTGCTGCAATTTGAATGACTCTCTCGGTCCCCTCCCATTTTACGAGCATTCCATGTGTCTTAATTAATGGTTGCTTTGGATATCAGAAGAGGCATCAGCCTCGTAACATATGGAGGAACTCGACTTTCATCATGAGGCATTATAACTCTTCTAAATGAAAAATTTTTAACTCCCAGGGCAGAGTTTAAATGGTTTGAGTAATGTTTTCTGGTTAACGTTTTTTTAGTGAGTTAGTTTTCTACAGAAAAGGTTCGCTAACCCCATATCCAACCCTCCCCCCTTATCTGTTCTTGGGACGGGCCGTAGCCCCAGAGGGTATCCTGTATATATTCACGAATGGATTGACTATTTTGGAATTCATTGTTGTATAATAAACTAATTAAAACTATAATTAAATGTTTTTACCGTATCATAGATTTGTCTAATTTTCCATTGATTCTTTTGTTCAACAAAAATAAATTGCATTTTCATTTTGTACCAAAAATAATTTTCAATGTTTAAATATTCATTCAGACATTTTGATTTATCATTCATTAATATCATAATTATACAGAACTATATAAAATGAGCATCAAACTGTATATTCTATGAGTAAACTAAACAAAATTAGATACAATTTTATGAGTCAACAAATTATACATTAAAGAGTAGTTTGTTGGATATTTAGTTTGATATTAAATGATATGCACAAAATGAATTAGGAATTAATTAATAATTCATGTATTCGTAACCTCAATCAGATAAATTTTATTACTTAAGTAATATGTAGTAATAATAGTTGAGATCATGAACCAATTGTAGCTAGACAACCATGGAAAATCTGGAAATAAAGGATGGCCGTTTCTTTCTAGTATGCGACTCTTAATCAGTGCGTATCTACAATCAAACCTCGCTAGATTTGAATACAGAACTCATAGGTCTCACGTACGATCAGTTAACCACTAGACCACTGAGCTGGTCGGCATTTAACAGTGTTAATGTCTAACTTCAACTAATCCACGAAATTTAGTGACATATCCACCATTGTCTTCAGTGAGTTACTATCTCACAAAAGACATGGTTGAACTCCACTGGTCACTACTTCTGACTAGAACTCCAGCAGATACCACATGAAACCAGTCACGTGTTAGCGTAAGTTGATTAGTACAAGAAAGGATTTTGTGGATATCATAGTAATTTTAATTGTTGAGATCATGAATCAAATAAGACCATTAGGTCCTAGATTCGAATCTCGCGAGGCGGAATCGTAAATGTGCACTGCTGAGGAGTCCCATAATAGGACGAAATGGTCGTCTGGTGCATTAATTGACTCATGATCTCAACTTTTAAAATTACTATAATATCAGCAAAACCCCTTCTAATACAAATATGTATTAGTTGTTCAAAAATACACACAACTGGTTAGACATGAATAAACCTTTAACAACCGTACATTTGACAATTTGTAGTAGGAATATGATAATTAATTCTACATCTAATATTACTTAACAGACAATATAATCTGAGCTGCAACAAATCGTCTATTTCTTCATACTATTATGAACACTATCTTGTCTGAATAAGCGTGTAGTTTGATCACATGACAGTCTCTAGCTCAAATGTTGATAGCTTAAATATCTACCGATGATTTATTCTCTTCCTCATGTATATATGTACTCGAATCATATTATTAGCTTTTGCCTTGCCTAGTTGAGCTATGATTCGATCTGACTATAAATTTGCCTCTGCATTTGCTCGTATACACAAATATTCGATCTTCTGCTTAGAATTCTCTTTATTTGCTTATTACTTCGTGATCCATGCTATCCGCTTGTAAACTATAGTAATCGTTTCTTATTGCTTTTTTATTCCAAACGCCATTGAAATTTATATAATGACGGTGATCAAGGTGAGAGATTGATGAAGCTATATATCTATATCTATATCTATATCTATCTATCTATCTATCTATCTATCTATATATATATATATATATATATATATATATATATATATATATATATATATATATATATATATATATATATATATATATATATATATATATATATATATATATATTAATAATTTGAATAAAAAATAGAAATGTTATAATCTTGTTGGGGATTTTAGATCCCCAGAACTCACTTGTAAAAAGTTCCTAACATGGTAATTTCATTTTGACAATTTGAATTTCTTTGTTTTCGCGCCAAAAGCGATCTTTCCATTTTCATGTCTTATTTCCCACTTGGAAGAACACTATTCGTCCGTCGTGTCTTTTAGTACGCATCTCAAGGATGGTTTTGTGCTGTATACATACGTTTGATTTATGTCTTTTGTTATCACTCGTGCTTCTGACTTTTTGGGGAATATACTTCTCCCTTCAGATTTCAAATTCTCTCTCTAGTTAGCGGGGCTGGAATGCAATAGATTAGCTAGTCTATTGATCTTTGATCACAAATCTTTGTTCCGTGTTACAATGACTATTATTTATTAAAAAACAAATCCATACTTAAAGTAACAAAACTTCCTAATTAGGTGTTTTGTCTCTCTGATCATAGTTATATTTGTATCATTTAATTAATTTAATTTATAATTA